ATGTTATCGACATATTTATGTATGAAGTTTAGGAAGTATTTGGGAGTTTTTCATTATAAGGGTGAATAGAGTGAAAACTTTCCTTCCTTCTCCTAGACTTTAGGCAGGTAAGTGTAACAATAGAAATGTGCCTGGAACTTAGAGCCATCTATATAACAAAACATTCTGGTCTGATTTTTCCTAAATGAAAACAAAAACCTGAGCATAAACAGCTCTCACACTGCAGAGCCAGCTGGAATTGGCCTAGAGGTGGAGCCAGTCATCTGCAGGGCTCAACACAGAGGAGCAGACGTTTTCTGAGCAACAGGGCAGGAAAACAGAAATATAATAATGTAAGTCAGGGATTTGCTTGAATAATGGCTCCGTGGGTGTGATACATCCTCACCAACAGTGAGCAGCAGATTACTGGAAGGTTTAGAATATAGCTGTGATAGCCACAATGGAATTTCTCAGGGGAAAATGTGGGAAGGGAGCCTGGTGGGGGGGAAGAAAGAATCTCTGCACAAATGCAAAGTATACATAAAGGAGAAGAGAACAAGTAGCACCCTCCTCACAGAGCAATGTTTTGCTGCCCTACCATGCAGAGCCCTGCTGCTGATTACTGTCTTGCACAATTTTTAGGTGTCAAGCAGCAGTTCTCTAGCTATTTCAAAAACAGGCCTTTCTAGGACTGTTAAATCAGATAGGAGGGAAGCTTTCCTCATCACATCTTTCACTGCCTTTCACATCTAAGGCATTCTGGAAAATAATTTGCACAGCACTTATCTAGGCTGGCATAAGCTACCATTGTGCAGCAATAAAAGAGTGGACACCCAGTCATTTTTTTGGTTTTTTTATCAGATACTGGATATAGACTTCCTCATTATTTGTATTTTCTCAGGAAATGGAAAAATAGCATCCATAGTTCCTCCTGCTGGAAGATAATACAGGAATTTATCATGCCTTCAGTTTTAAACCTGACTGTTTTATTTTCAGGGCTATAAGAGAAGAGATACTGGTCCATTAAAACTTTTTTCCCTGTAAGTTGTCATGGTGGGGAAGGCTTTAAAGAGAATTAATATTAATTTTTAATTTTTTAAAGAGTTTTTTTCCTCTGTTTTCAATTTTATACTCTCAAAGGAAGGCTCACCCGTGTATTCTGTGGGACCTGCTGCTGCTTCCCACTTCCCATTCTGCGTTTTCCAGAATTGACACATGCTCTGGTTCACTCCAAAATCTCTGCTGACCAAACCAACTCTGCAAAATACTTTATGGTGAAAGGCATTACGCAAATGCAAGAGGTTTTAGAGGCAAAGTTAAACACAGAAATAAAAAAATGCAGGGGATTTTCATGTGTTGCTATTCAAGGATCAAAGGCACACAAATGCCAGCCTCTAGCCCTCATGATTACTGCTCTTCCTAGCACAGCAAGTGGCCTTATCTTAATCAAACTTCTCTATCAGCGCTTCAGCCTCATCCTCTTCAGTCTGCCCAGAGCTCTGGCATCATCCACCACCCACAATCTTGTCTTGTCTGGCTTCTTTGCTCAGTACTCTCTAATTTTCTTCCTACTTCTTCAGTTATTTCTTCCCTTCAGCCTCTCCTCCCCCGCCCATGTGTTGGTGTACCTGGCTTAACTTTCTCTCCTCCCTTCCTTTCTGGCAGCAATACAACCTCAGCATATCAAAAACCTCAAAGGCATCTTTAACTCTCCCTCTGGACTCACAACCTTATCTCCTCCCCTCCTCTTCCTTGGGCACAGTCCCATCACCCCGCCTGGCTGCTGCCCTGGCCTGCCCCTTCTTGAGAACTGCTTCAGGTGACATTTTGGCATCCACCCTCTCTCCATCCCCCAGAGCTGCAGGTCTCCTGAGCAGGTTCTTTCCTCTCTTACTGTGGCCTATTTTTTTTTCACTTCCCATCAAGAGACGTGGCTATGTACCCCCCTTATCCATCAAACCTAAACCATCTCAGACCCCTCTTGGGTTTCTGGACCCTCTTCTCCATTGCATCAAACAGAAGCTTCGCTTTCAAGATTCTTTATGATCCAGTTCTTGTCTTTCATTAAGTGTCAGGAAACCAACTCTGGCCTCTAATCCTTTCAGGATAAAAGCCCTTATCTCCCACTTGTTAAAACACTCACTTAGGCACCTTTGTGCTTTTTCCCAGGCAGCCTGTATCTGTGAAACTATCCTCATTATCCTTGTAATTCTCCTGTGGCATTACGTCAGTAACATCCTTAAGTGTTTGGCTGTGGGTTTGCTGCAGCCCTCTGACTCAGAGTGGCTCATGTGTCCTTCTGCCTCCCTCCCTGTCTGTAGCCATTCATTAATTCTGTATCCATTCATTAATTGTCCGATGGTGGGGTCTGGGAAGGACAGACATCTCCTTTCTCCTCCACAGCCCCCACCACAGTGAGGTCCTGATCCCTGACCAGCTGCTCTATTACAACAGTAAGGGAATTAATCAATCCGCAGCCTTTTCCCATCAAAATTATGCTTCATTTTTTCTTTTTTTATTTTTAATAGTAGATTTGTCCCAAATTCACCAGAGATTGAAGGAATTTAGATGCAAATGACACATATAACACTATGTAATAAAAGAAAGCAATGAACTAGCAAGAACATAAATTAGCATTATTGAAGACTAATTCTGACTTCATGCCAGAATGAAAGAAAAAATAAATATGGAGTTCCTGGAAGCATATCAGCAGAAAAGATAAGAAAAGGCAGGAGCATTCCTAGGAGGTTTTTTTATATGTGCCATGTTTTAAATTCACACCTTTTCTTCTCTCAGCTATTTGTAGAACTGGTAGAACTTATCAGGAAATAAGAATACAAGAAAGAGGCTTTTAAAGGAGCCTGGGACTAAAGTACCTTTTAATTGCCATCTTCTGATGTTACAAAAAAATATCTAATCCCATCCTAGTTTTTTGTTTTGTTTTGTTTTTCCATGGTAATAAGCAGCATTAACAGATTATGCTTCAGGCCAATCAGTTTCTCTGCTCTTGCCACACTCTCTTGCAAGCTGCTCCTTCTTTGCTTCAACATTGATTCACCAGGACAGATTTTATCCCTAAATCAAAGACCTATCCACTTGGCTTCATCCATGTCTCCTTGAAGTGAAAGCAGAATTCAAAGAAAATACTCTTTTATATTCATGTGGTCAAAACCATTCTCTTTTGCTGTTAGACAACAATTTCTAAGCCATAAATCTTTACCAGGACAACTTTTGCTGACAGAATTATAGTGGCAGCAGAGCCAGTATAGCATTCCTAATTCCAAACATCACCAGTTTGACATACACTTAAGTCTAGAACAGAGGGACTAAGCTTTTAAATAACTTAATTAGTTGCTGCAATTTATTTAATAAATATCAGCTGAAAATGTCACACAGGATAAAATCATTGTGGAAGTGCTACAAAACACAATGAGTGGAAAATAAGGCAGGAGGAAATAGAAAAAAAAATAAGCTTAATTTACAGAAAAAAAAAAGGGAGGGGAAACAATATCACTTCTCTATATGTGCATTCATTAGTGTGGCTTAAAGCACATGGAAATTTCGCTGCAAAACTCACTGCTGCAGTGCATAATTGATGAAAACAGAGAAGAGGCTACTCTACTGTTACAGAAAAAGTCTCAGCTGAATCTAACCACCTTTAATAGACTTTTCCTTCATGCATTCTCTGATGAGGTACAATGAGAATTAGCACATTATAGGTGACGATTTATCTGCTGCTTTGTGGAAGCCGTTAACATCTATGTGAAAAAAATAAAACAAAAAAAGAAAAGAAAATCCACAAAAGCCTAAATAAATAAATCACTGTAGAGGAATTAACGAGATCAGACAAAGCAAATGAAATACTTAGAAATCTTAAATAACTAGTTTAAATAAAAGGGGTTGCATATGTGTTACTTTCACAGACAGAAATTACTTTAATTTCTCTTTAAATATTTCTTCTGTAAGTGAAACAGGTAAAGAAAAGCCCATATGACAATAATAAGGGGAATTAGGTCAGCTTCTGAACTCATCCATCAGTGAAATGCAGCACATCTCCAGCTCATGCAATTCCAAAATCATTTAAAGTGGTTGTTTTCAAGTCAGCCTTCTATCACCCACCTTTCTTTCTGCCAGAGGCCAGAAATAGCACCTGATAATTTATCTTCTATGTCAAGCTTTGCAGCAGCTACCTCCTTCTGAGCCACTGAACTCAGTTTGCTGCATCTGCTTTCAATAGACACACTGGAACCACATTTTCTCTCTTGCATTCACCTGTCAAATACGGTTTAGGAGAACATACTTCAGATACTGCTAAGAAATGCTACATCCACAAGACTCAGAGCTCAGAATTCAGTGTTTGTGAACTCTTGAAAAGCTTGTGGAGCTTCAACTCATTGCAATGAACTAAAGTTGTTAACTTGCGGGCTGGATGCCAGAGACAAATTGGCTGGTGATTTTTAAATTTATAAAACTAGAGGCTGCCTTGGACTCAAACAGTCAAAATTTCCACTTAAATAAATGCTGAAAGCTTCTGTATTCCTTTCCCAAACACCCTGCATTGTGAGCAGTCTGGGACACTTACCTCAGATAAGTCAGGAGCTCCTGGAACTTTTCTTGGTTCACAGGTCAGGGTGTGAAGCCCTACACGTGCTGGCTCTGTGAAGATCAGGCTCAGGCATGACAAGCCCTTTTCCCTCTCCATCTTGCCCTTGATGCTCTGCTTTTACCACAAGTAAAACTTGGCTGCACAGGTGGAAAGCAAAGGCACTTTGGGCAGGTGGCAGTTCTGGGCAGTCAGGAGAAGGATGAACCACAGCTTGTGTTTGCCATTCAGCACATCCTTCCTTTCAGGAAAGCTGATTACAAGATCCCAGTGTACCCAGGCTGCTCTTCCTTCTCTGCAACTTGCCAGAAAGCCTCTCTGGCTTTCCACATTGCCCTAATGGAATTTAGCCTGATCCAGTAGGAGCAACACTGGTAGAAGGGACCATGACACTCAGGCCATTTATCATCTGTTGCAGGAGTCTATTGGAAACACGTGGCCAGTCCCAGGGCTCTGCTGTACCAAGCACCAGAGAAGAGAGCAACCTGACAGCAAATCTCTGCTCTGCACAATTTACTGAGCAGATGTTGGACAGAATAAAAACAACCCAGACAACAGGAGAAGTTTCCTGAAGCTGAACCTCACCATGCCATTTTATTTATGTGTTTCCACACCCTCACTGCTCTGAAAACAGAGATTCACAACTCCTGTATGAATGTGCACATTAAGACTCAATAAATGGCAAATAACACGTGGCAGTTCCAGTCCCTTTATGTTGGTGTGTGCTTCTTCATCTTTCAAAAAGCAGAAGCAGTAGCCATTCTGAGCTGGAATACAACCAGCTTTGTGCTGAAAAGGGAAGAATTCCCTTTAAGAGATCAGTATCCAACCTCAGCTTTGTTCAGCATCACCTCCTGAATAGCAAGAATTACGTTTGAAAGGTAGCAGCTCCTGAATAGGAAAAACTATAGGAGACTGCACATTTTTACAAAGAGAGCATGTGCTCTTCTCCATTTACTGATCCAATGCTCAAAGAGCTCAGAAAACACCTCCTGTGGGTGCCAGGCTTTGAGGACAAAACAAAACAAAAAAAAAAAAGAAAAATGGATATTCTGGTAACTATGGAGAGGCAAAAAATTCCAACGTTTTATAGGTCACTGAAAGCAGGCAAAACACAGAAAGTGTTTTCTATTGCCACTCCACTCCCCTCTGTGCTCCCTGCAAACATAAATAGTTCTGTGATTCATTGCAAAGCTGCTCTTCCCTTGCTGAATTTGAAAGAGAATATAATTGCTTTTTCCGTACACCAGTAATGATGACAGGGACCAAGATGCCTTTTTGACATAAAATGGTATGTCATTCATTAAAATTATTACTGCCTGAGTGGGAAGTTTTCAGCAGAAGTGTCATATTCTCAGAACATGCATTGAAAGGAAATCAGATAAACAGAAGTTTTCTCCTCTTACTTTTGCAGAACACATCAACCTAGTTTGCAGCTTAACAAAACCTGTCTGCATGTTCGCATAGGAGCGAACCCAAAGCTGATATTAAAAAATTAATTCTCTGTTATTCAAAGTGTGACTAAATCCATTCCTAGTGAAATATTTAATCTTTTATAGTTCTTTGCATTCTAAGTTTGTAGATTTAGACAACTTGAATAAACATACCACATTTGTTACAGCATTTCCACCAGCAAATGGAAAGCTATATTAGGTTTAAGGAATATGTTTCAATAGGAAGGGAGGAAACCAGGAGATGTGGCCAGTGAGGGGAGCAGTGGACTCTGTTGCAAACATCACCCAGTGAAGCACCCTGGCTTCTAATGCAGTTGTCCTTTCCAGCTTTAAAACCTCTCAGAAATTCTCTCCAGGGATCATATCCCCACCCCTGCCTGGCGCCCTCTCGGAATTCAAAACATCCCTCAGACATTTTTGGATGTTCCGGGTCCAGGTCAGAAGCATTTGAGACCCTGGCAGGCAGCTGGAAACAGCTGTGATTTTGGGTTTGAGCCATGGAATGATTTACCAACCTTGCAGGAAGAACAAGAAGTCACAAAAGTTTAGATATTATAGTAGAAGTAGTCACAAAGTAAAGGGAAGAATTTTTGAGTGCTGTACAGGGGGGTTTTGGTTTTGTACATGGGGGTCAGAGGTTTTAAGATGGAGGGATATGGGCCTGCCCTGTCCTCCCTCTTTCTTTTTCCTTCCCTCCATGTTCTTGGTGATGTTGGTACTCACAGATTGGTTTAGAGTAGAAAGGCACCATTTAATATAGGTAATAGGTACTGGTGAAAAACTGTAACCATGTAACACGTAATGTACCATATAAAAGATAGAAAAGCACCATTTAATATAGGTAATAGGCACTGGGGAAAAACTGTAATCATGTAACACGTAATGTACCATATAAAAGACAGCAGCACCCCGACCTAGGGGTGAGCTCTGGCAGTGCTCAGGATCAGCAGCAGCCCTGCCAGGCCTCAGGGGCCTCCATGCCAGGAGAACTTTTGTCACACGGAATCCCAGCGCTCTCACACAACAAAAACAACGGTGTGCCCTTGGTCAACAGCAATTTGTTCTCTGTCTGTCAGCTCCTTCCCTGCAAGAAGGCAGTGTCCATCACACAGGGCTGCAGGGCTGGGAGATAAAGGTGGAACATGCCCTTTTTCCTGAGAGCAGAGTCGGAGGCAGAGTGACATCCCTTTGCCTGTGATGCACCTCGCTGTACAGCAAACGCAACGCATCAATTGCTGATGCTATCAAAGGAAATAGCATTTCCAGCCACATGGGAAATATGTCAGCAAAACAAATGGATTCAAATAAACAGCAGCAGAAGGCACACAGCAATATTGATTCATGGCTTTTTATCCTCTGTCCTTTTGAAATGGTCCCTTTCCAGCACTCAGGCTGCTGTGATAAATGCCTCCTCCCCCTCCTGCATGCTTGACTACTGAGAATACATTTTGTGCCTTTTTTTTTTTTTAGCAAAGAAGAAAAAAAAGGATGTAAAAAGAAAAAGACACCTACACTTTGTAGTGATTCTGGTTTTGAGCCATTAGCTTGCCCTGCAGTATCAAACATAGCTTTGAACCTCTCCCTAATACAACAATGGCTGATTTGTATCAAGGTGCTTCTCAGTAAAGGCAAGGCATTTGAGAAAAACACTGAATTATGTGTCATTTAAAAAAAGGTTAGCAGTAGAAATACATCAAAGGAATCAAGATCAAAATTACTATAAAGTGAGCAATTGAAGCAACTGGAAAAGTCCTTTCCATTCAGACAGGTCACCTATTCAAGTCCAGCCTGAATCAAAAGTGAAAATGAGTCTTCTGTAGCTTTGGGAAAATGGGATGAGGGGGTGTCTCTACTGGGTTTTCATTTGAAAGACAACCCCATTGCAAAAGCAGCTGCTGTCAATTTTAGCAAAGGACAGGGCAGGCTTGTAGGTTTGGGTAATTCAAATTATTTGAAACAAAAATATTATGCTATTTTTTGAATAAACACCACCACCAGAGGAACATATTTTCCACTTAACCATAAAAGCACAGAAAAAAAAAAAAAAAAGTGCAAATGGTGTTTGTTAGCTCCTGGTTTATGAATGAGTAAGAGTGAGGCCAATGTCTGAGGGCTGTGAGCTTTCAAAAAGCCCCATGGTGAGGGTCTCAGCTGCACAGGATTGTCAGCCACCAGCAGAAGTGCCATCTCCTGCTCTCCTATGCCAGCTCCAGGGAAGAACAACTTGCTTTGGGGCTTGCAGGCAAAGAGGACTGTAGGAGTCATCAATGCCAAAATAAAATGAAACATTTAAGGAATACCTAGAAAGATTTAATCCCTGTCCTTCAGCATACCTAATGCCCTGGTATCTCAAGCAGAGCAATGCTGCCAGTTCAAGTCTTGCCTGTCCCCTACAAAAGATAATTTGTCTTCAAAGTGGAGGCAGCAGACAGATGTTGCTGACCCAATCCCTGTGCCCTGAGTGCACTGCTCAAAGGCTGCATAGGTACAGGAAGAGAAAAAAACCCTTGTAAGCCTAAGAACTGCTTGTGCTGGCCTCAGGTTACCCTGACTGGCACTGATCTTGTGACAGGACATTCCTTCCTGCTCATCTAATGGCACAACTCACTAAAACCTCCTCCTTGAGCTCTGGGGTTCATGGCCCAAAGCACAGTTCTTGGGCAGGAATATGGGGTTTTTAGTGAGTTGTTCTGCTAAATGTTTTGCAAGTGCCTATTCCCCTCTTCCAACCCTAGTTGTTCTTTTTTACTGCTATAAAAATGTTAGCATGACTGCCTCTGATGAATTTCAGAAGTTTCAACACATAATTTAAAAGCAGAAGTCATTAGCAAGTATCTATTTGATCTCTGACAGCTGAAGCAGTGAGAAGAGCTATCATTTAATAACAGTTAAGGTTAAATATATTCCTGTAGTTTATCATCATTCACTTTCCCTAAATGCATGACTTCAGGTAGTAAACTCTGAAGAGAAGAGCAGTGTGAATTACACTGTGTGGCAGCCATCAGCAGCAGGCTTTAACCTCAGACCAATCCAGAACAGGAGTCTGACAAACAATTCCAGGGGATCATCATATGACATTAAAGTCCTCATAATATCATCCTTTCATGTATGTGATGTATTGGAGGCAGCTCTTGGGTAGTTCTTAATGGCCCAGCTGCCACCACAGTGATGTATGCACTGTGTATTGAGGAAATGAAACAGGAATTATGCACAATGCATCATTTCTCCTGCTGCTGTCATTGGGCAGGGAAGGCTGCAGCACCCTGTTGCTTCAAGATAAAAAAGGATCCTTAGTGCTTCATTGATATGGAACAGAACAGAACATTTCAGCTGGAAGGGACCTGCAATGTTCATCTGGTCCAAATTTGTGCAGCTGCAGTGGACCCAGCAAATGAGGAGACACTAACCTAGAGAGATCAGATCCACTGAGAAAACCACTCTTCATATCATGAAATACCAGCCTGTGCCTTTCCCAGCTGTGCTCCCAGAAGTTTCACTTTACCAAACTCACCCCCCAAAACAAGCACATTTCTTCCCTGCTCCAAGCTCTGCTCCATTCCCTATTCCAATGATGAAGCTGGGAGAGTAAGGACGTGGCCACTATTCCCTAATTCATAGCCTTCCACACCCTGGACTGGTTGGAGCAGCTTTTGGATGCTCCAGCATCCAGCATTACCCTTTCAGTAAGAGAACTGAAGTCCCTCGTAGCAGTGTGAAAGTGGAGTATTAAATACTAAACCCTAATTCTACATTGTCTCTGCAGGAGACTGCCAGTGCACAACAACAAAGCAAAAATAACAGCTATGTCTGTCAGTCTGTCACCCTGCAGCAGCAGGCAGCTTTCCAGTCCAGCTTTCCTGGGTACTCATTTATAGCAGCAGGTGGGAATCATTGCTGCTCTGTCTGGTGGCATTTTACACCCACTCTGACCAGAGAAGATCACTATAAAGAGAGGCAAATACAAGGCACAGGCTCCTGAAGACAGACATTTGGCAGCACCTAGTTTCCATCCTCACCATCACATATTTGAAAATAAACTAAGCTGTCTGGGCAAATGTGAGATGCTCTGGTGGGCTGACAGGGGATGGCTTAGGTACTAACAAGCACATCCGTGGCACATCTAAGAGCAGGTGATAATCCCAGCCCCAGCCTGCACATCCCTTCCCAGGTCAGCTCAACTTTTGCAGGTTTTCTCCCTCCCTGAGGAGCAGGTGCGGCAAACTGACTCTTCCCAACA